AAAATCTGATTTAAATCGCTAGGCTTAATATTTCTATTTACGTAATTAACATCCAAATACAGGGTGAAGTTAGTAAAACCCTAATGGAAAAATTTAAATACAGCTGAGACTCCATTTCAGATCCGAGGACACTCTAGCTCTCTCACGCCTATGCATACGCCTATATGTCCATGTATGTAAGCATATATATACAAGCGTGTATTTATCGAGAGAGAAGGAATATCTCACTGTAACCAATCCACTAGCCATTTCCATAAGCTCTCTCCATCTTTTAAGAACTAGGTAATTTTTCTCTGAAGTTTATATATTTTTCTGTTGATCTGTTCATGGCGTTCTGAATGATTTGTTTTGTGTTCATTTTATTGTATATTACGTGTTTCCTTTAATTTTGTTTATTTTATTAAAAAAAATGGGAATAGGTGTGAAGAAACCGAAGAAGATTGAGTGCGTTCATCGTTGCGATACATACAAATACAAGTATATATTCGATGAAGGGGTTGGGTATAGTGAAATTGATGTTGATTTGAAAATATTCTGGTGGTTATGGAGAAGATCTGGATTTTTTCATCATTTCGCGAAAGCTGAATTTAAATTTTTAATTTTATGAGCGCTAATTTTTTGATCTGTTCGAGTTTAGAGTGGAGTAGTAATTTATTGAACTCAGTCGACAAGGTTGATTGACTCAAATGGAGACTATAGTTGTTGCTCATCCCAGGAATCATAATCAGTATTGTGGTAGAAGCAGGGGTCACGGCCCTGCTCCGGGTTCCGGTAGTTTCCGGGATATCAATTGCCGGTCATCTCAATTCGGAGCAGGGTTACTTCCGTCCCCATTGAAATCTTGCACTACCACTGCAGTTGTTTGTAAAAGGGCTTTTTCTGCTCCATTTTCGCTCAAGACCCCATCTCCATCTGTTAGTGAGATTGCCAAAACCTCGAAAAAAACTGCTAAAAGTAGTGTAATTCCGATTACATTGAATTTCATGTTTGAAGAGCAAGAAGGATGTTTCGATGATGATTTTCTATCATCTGAGCTCTGGGCTGGGCCTGCTTACTCGAACTCACCTCCACCAAGTTCGTTACCAATGCCCAAATTTTCCCTTCGCCCAAAGAGGACTGTTTCGCTCGACTTGCCTACCCCAGTCTCTGAATTGGACCTGCACCTGGTTTCAAAATCAGCTCCCACATCTCCAACTAGAGAGCGGAGCCCTTTGTCGAGTCATCTGTTTGACAATGCTGCTACAAAGATGACACCTAGTGATCTTTTTCACAGTTCTGACTCTGCGACAAAGGCCCTTTGTCGCATTCTTAATCTTGATGTCAGTGATGAATGAAGAGCTGGAGCGGTCACTGCTCCTGTAAATAAGGAAGCTTATCTCCTTCAGGGCGTGAATTAGTAGTAGATTAGTGTACATATTGAATAAATTGGGTCACGTTATCAGTTGTTTGTTTAGCATTTCGTGAGCTGTTGTGGTGTTTGTGGTGGTGCTGGAGTGATGATGGCTCATGGCTGGTTGGTCAACTATCTCCAGAAATAAAAAAGGCTGGTGTAGTTGTTGATTGGGATGATCGATTCTCATTTGGTTGTTTAAATGCGGATAATTTCTCAGGCAAAAGGTATTGGGAGCAGAAGATGGAATTGATGAATTGACTGCTTCAGTATAGAAGACTGCATTCTATTGGATCGGTAAAGTATTGATTTCAAGTCCTTAATACTTTAGCCATAGGATTGTTCGTTGTTGTTTTCCATATCTTCAGTTAGATTTAGTATTCAGTTTCATACAATCTGTACAAACAGTTGACATCTAACTTCATTAGTCAAACCTATCCGGTTCTGTCGTATATCAAATCTCCCTTTGATCTTGAACCTAGCATCCCCAATAGTTCCCTTTTCAATTTTCAGCTCAAATACTGATCGATCAAGTTAGAAACTTAGCCATCTGACTCTTCAGTCTGTCTATAAATCATAAATGCTTCGATATGTTGATACCTCTCTTTTCCTTAAAGTCTCACAAGTCATAATCCATCCTTTTTCGTTCTCTTTTTCTATATAGGACATTATCGTTTGTGTCTTTACCCTGCAAAGATGTGGATTCCCCTTCACCTTTTGTCTTGTTTTTTAGAAAAGAAAATTGTGAAGGGGAAGTAGAGGTAGAAATTTTCCCTTCTGGCCTTGTGCTTAGATTTGATCTTCCCTGAGCCATCTTCCTGTTAGCCTGTATAGTCCTCTCTTGTTGGGAGTGAATTAAACAACTTCCTTTTCGCCTTAACTTTCCATTTCTCGTTGGAGATTCTTGATCGTGCCAAGCCATTACAAGGTAATCAATCCTCTGTGTGTGTGTGTGTGTGTGTGTGTGTATATATACACACACACCATAATGCAGTTTTAATTAATGTTCTCATCTTTTTTACCAACAGTAGTATGGGATCTGATGGGAGAAGAATTTTCAGGTGGCTGTTTCTGAAATTTGTGGGATTCTCTGGTCCTGTTTCATTATGGTGAGACTATTGTGGTACATTATGGCAATGGATTTTGAGTCTTCCTGTCTAAATTTAGTTTGAATGTAGTTTACACTTGTGTCCTTTGGTTACGTTTCATTTAGTTTGTCTTTGTGCTGTTGGATTACAGAGTTCTTGATAAAGTAGCTTTCCTTCATATAATTTACTATGTTTACTGGCATTGTGATTATTTTTTTTTTGCGCTCGTTTCAATAAAAATTTCGGTGAGTTCAAGTGTCATTGCGATTTATAATTGCTTTATTACATATATTGTCATTTCTGTTGAAGGCACTGAAACCAACCATAGGTCCATAGCTGTTTCAGATCCATTTCAATTAGTCCGCAGAATGAAAAAAAGATAGAAGAGGAAGAAGTGATTTCTCATGGCAGCTTGTATTGTGTTAGGGATTACAATTCTTTTTACTTCTAGATGACGAGTCTCCATCTAATATTAGCTTTATATTTTCATGTTGATTTTGTTTGTTGGTAGTAATTGTACAGCGTACTCTCCTTGAAGTTCTGAACCGTAACGGGCTCCATTTAATTCCTACTATTTGATTGAAGAACTGCGGAATCAAGTGAAAGGGGTGTAATTCCTTCTTGTTCACTTTTTGCCCCCCTGAATTTCATCTTTCCTTCATTTTTCTTGGCTATTCAAGAATTGTTTATCACGCGTGGCTGAATATACGGTATAAATTTGGAACTCAGAACTGGATATGATTAAAACATGGTAATGAGGAATGATTTTAACTATTGGAATAATGTCTCTAAAGTAATTGACATGATTGTCAAGTTGAATAAGATCCTTAGGCACATGTTTGCTGCCTTCTACCAATTTCAGGTTCACCGTATTGACTAGAGAATAGGATGTGGATATGTGAAATAGGATTTTGTTTTAATATTTTGTAGGAGTGACAATGGCTCGAGCTGCATGCCAGCTAAGGCCCGGCCAATCGCCCCCTGGGGTTGGCTGGTTATGTTTGTTCTGTTGTCCAAGAATAATGAAATGAAATTGTTCGAGCTTATCTTAGTCGGGTGACTTGTTGATACTTTCTATTATACGTTCAATTTGATATACTAATCAATAATCATAATCTAATTGTCTGAAAATGACACTTTTGGTTTTGGATTCTCCACTTATTAGAGTCGGGTCATATTCAAACTCTCTTAGGGGAGATCATCTTTGAGACGATTACTCAATCAGATAACAAATAAAGGATAAAAGAAAAAACAAGAAATAGAGAGGAACAATTATTGCATAGTCTGGATTTGTTGAACCGTGCTACTTGTGCAATGTAGGAGGGGGTGGTTTTGTCGACAATCTTTCACACATGGATTGGGTGGGTAATTTTTTTTTTCTTTTTTTAAGCACAGTGGGATCCACCATTGTGAGAAGTTGTCAATTTCGATTGTACAAGTGTTTTCCGAATTTGTTTCATGTGTAGATTTTTTTTCATAAATAGGCGGCAGTATGACTTAAACACGGGACTTTTTTTGTCTCATTTGATACCTATGCGATTAGTCCCCTTTTTCAATTTTCTTGTTATTTTTATAAAGGAACAATACTAAAAATATGCAACTTGTTTGAACCGAGCCATGGCCATGTGAAATAAAGGCCAATATGTTGGCGGGATTGGCAAGTCGACCTCCATTGTCTAATAGTTTCGGACTTCTCCAAGAAATTTTGATCCCTCATCCTCCCCCTTCAATCATAGTCAGGACTGGAAAAATTGGATTTTTTTTTAAGCAAGTCTCTTTGAAAATGCAATACTCGTCTTATGCCATGTTTGATGGCTTGAATTTTGCCCACCCCAAGCGTCCATTTTCCTTAATTTTAGGGAATTTCTTTTCCCACCATTTTGGTTGGAAAATGAAATTTCAGGTTATGACCAATTTTTACTTTTTTATTTTTAAGTAATGGAAACAAATTTAATAACCA